AAAAGGCTATCCGGCTACCCACCCATTTCTGGGAGGCACGTGAAAACGGATACTGAGGTCTACCGGAATCTGGCCAGCAGAAACAGTTCGAGGTTCAGTCGAAATACACAAGCCTACCGCCTACTGGAAACCACTGGTTCTTTCCTTCCCAAAAACCCGTCCGGGTTTGGCACTACTCGTGGACTACCACTTTGACTAGCATTGGTCTTAAGGACTCCGTTAAGGGCTTTACAGAAAAAGTAGGCTTTGAGAGGGAACTAAAAGGAAGAGAAAGAACATCATGGAGGAAGGGGATAGGGTAGGGAAGAATTTCAGCAAGCTTTCCAAAGGTCCATAAATGAATCAAGTTATACAAAGTTTGGCAATGACACACACACACAGGCATAACATGGGAATTGACTTTGTGTCTTGCTGACATAGCAACTAAGAAAGTTGTGTCACATTGACCACTATTGACGGCTAGCGGTTCAGCCACTGAAGGGAGGGGCATACACACCATGCCATATATTTCCAATATTGACCTTCCCTCCTTTTCCATGGCTCCTTGGGTTGGCTATTGAATTTGGACTGCAGTGTAATAAACAGCTGAGGTTTAATTAATGGTAAATGAATACAAGACACAGGTTATGACTTTAACTAATTAGGGAATTGTTGAATTAAGTCTGCCTTGGAATGCAAGGCAGTACAATCAATATCCAATAAAAGGACTATGTATGTAATTTACCTGCAAATGTGTTTCCAATACCGTCAAAGTGAGTTTAAATAAGTAAGATATATGAAAGGCTATTGGGGGGGGGGGGGAGAGAAAATCAAGGTTTCTTTTCTTTTTTTTGAGGTTAACACTTTCTATACTTTACGAATGAATAAGAAAGGGCAAGGAGCTGAAATGATATCATATGAAACCAGAGTAAACTCATCCATGCGCAAAGAAGAAAAGGACTGAGAAGAGGCTCAAGTAACCACAGATGGTCCATTTTCACAATATAATTATAGTGCGATGATTCCACATTTACTGCCTATGGAAACATCCTATGGAATTCTGGGTATGTTGTCATTTGGAAAAGCACAAAAGCGCTCTAACCTAAAACTCGAAATATACTTCCCCTCGAAACTGCAAATCCCAAGACTCCTGCGAGATCTGAGATACACAGATTTGTGCATAACACAAAAGCATATTTGGATGCCACCTTCACTCTGTTGGGAAAAATATTGCTCTGATTCCATGGTCATGTGGCTCCTTCAAAGTATGGAAAACAATTGGCATTCACATTCTCTTATACGCGCTTAACCATAGACTCTACTCAGCACTTGGAGATTCTGCTCTGTCTCGCATCTCAACCCAATGTTAGGTAGCAAAACTAACATAACGGGGCCTTTTCAGTTATTGCACCCTCATTGCTGAATATTTGCATCAGGCAAGTCCATTTAGCACAGTGTGGCATATTTTCCAACACAAAACAAAACTCTGGCTTTTGCACATGTACTGTTTTGTTTACAAACAGTGTGACTTACAAACAAACGAGTATTTTTACTTATGCTTGGAGTTGGTCACTTGTTTTTCTAGCTGATTCTTTTTTTTTTAATTATTATTGTTGTTGTGTCAGAAGCAGCTTGAGAAACTGCAAGTTGTTTCTGGTGTGAGAGAATTCGCGGATTGCATAGACATTCCCAGGGGACGCCTGTGGGAGGCTTATTTATTTATTTATTTAGAACTTTTATATACCGGTCTTCTCTACCTCCAAAGAGGGACTCAGGCCGGTTCACAACAAAAGATTCATAAACAATAGTTTAAAACATCACATCCCATAATACACTAATATATAATACATAAAATACAATCATATAATTACATAAGGCCAAGTCGTCAGATTGAAGTCACAATTCATCACCATCCGTCCGTGTGTTCAAGGTTATTGACTCACTCATCAAATGCTAAATTCCAGAGCCAAGTTTTCACCAGCTTTCTAAAAGTCAGGAGAGAAGGGGCAGTTCTAATCTCCAGTGGGAGAGAGTTCCAGAGCCGAGGGGCCACCACCGAGAAGGCCCTGTCCCTCGTCCCCACCAGACGCGATTGCGAGGGTGGTGGGACCGAGAGCAGGGCCCCTCCAGAAGATATTAACAACCTTGATGGTTCATAGGGGAGAATCCGTTTGGACAGGTAAACTGGGCCGGAGTTGTTTAGGGATTTATAGGTCAGCCCCAGCACTTTGGATTGTGCTCGGAAGCTAATTGGCAGCCAGTGGAGCTGGTGTAACAGCGGAATGGTGTGCTCCCTGTACCCCGCTCCTGTTAGTAATCTGGCTGCCGCTCGTTGGACTAATTGCAGCTTGCGGGCAGTCTTCAGAGGCAACCCCATGTAGAGAGCGTTGCAGTAGTCTATACGGGATGTAACCAGACTGTGGACCACTGTGGCCAAGTCAGACTTCCCAAGGTACAGGCGCAGCTGGTTTTAATTGTGCAAAAGCTCCCCTGACCACCGCCGAGACCTGGGGTTCCAGGCTCAGCGATGAGTCCAGGATCACTCCCAAACTGCGAACCTGTGCCTTCAGGGGGAGTGTAACCCCGTCGAGCACAGGCTGTGCCCTGTTCGGCCTTCTCTCATGTCCCTGTATGGGAAGCTGTAGCTGACAGACAGGAGCTCACCCCGTCTTGTGGATTCGAACCACCGACCTTCAGGTCAGCAGTTCAGCCAGCACAAGGGTTTAACCCATTGTATCACGGAGGCTCCTATTCTTTATGTCATTGATTTTTTTATGTCATCGATAGTAAATAGTTTGGCCAGCTAAATTTCAAAAGATCCCCATCTTTGACCTAGTTCAGTTCCTTGCTCTGACCAGCCAGCCTCATAAAGTTTCTCCAACAGTTTAAAAAAAAAAAAACCTTGCGTTGCACAATAATGCTTGAGGGTTGGGGATGACATTCAATACAGTTCACCAGACAGACAGGGCAATTTCCTCCATGCTGCTGCAAAAGGTCAGAAGTGTATATTTACCTATTAAAGTGTTCAGTATTAATGTACGGATATTATTTGTGAGGATACTATTTGCATGAAGCTTTAGAATTCACCTCATTGACTTTCAGAACCATATCCTCACTCATGACTTTGCTTTGCACTGCATGTTACAATACAAAAAGCCACACTTACAAAAACAAAACATGTTTCATCTCCTATGAGAAGAACAGACTTGAAAGGGACCCCAAGGACCATTGAGTTCAATCCCCTATTCAATGTAGGCCCTGCAGCCAAGGCATTTGCAGCATGTGTGTTCTAGAAGAGAAAACCCTGCTTCCTTATTGTCTATCTCAACGTTTCTCAATCTGGGGGTCGCAACCCCTGTGAGGGGTCGCGAGGGGGTATCAGAGGGGTCACCAAAGACCATCGAAAGCACAGTATTTTATGTTGGTCATGGGGGTCCTGTGTGGGAAGTTTGGCCCATTTCTATTGGTGGGGTTCAAGGGGCTCTTTGATTGAAGGTGAACTATAAATCCCAGCAACTACAACTCCCAAATGTCAAGGTCTATTTTCACCAAACTCCACCAGTGTTTAAATTTGGGCATGTTGAATATTCGTGTCAAGTTTGGACCAGATCCATCATTGTTTGAGTCCACAGTGCTCTCTGGATGTAGGTGAACTACAACTCCAAAACTCAAGGTCAATGCCCACCAAACCATTTTAGTATTTTATGTTGGACATGGGAGTTCTTTGTGCCAAATTTGGTACAATTCCATCATTGATGGAGTTCAGAACGCTCTTTAATTGTAGGTGAACTATAAATCCTAGCAACTACAACTCTCAAGATCTATTTTCCCCAAACTCCACCAGTATTCAAATTTGGGCATATTGGGTATTTGTGCCAAATTTGGTCCAGTGAATGAAAATGCATCCTGTATATCAGATATTTGCATTACGATTCATAACAGTAGCAAAATTACACTTATGAAGTAGCAACAAAAATAATTTTACGAGGAACTATATTAAGGGGTTGTGGCATTGGGCCAAGCTTTCCACACTGAACCCCCATGACTACCAGAAAATATTGTGTTTTCTGATGGTCTTTGGTGACCTCTCTGACACCCCCTCGCAACCCCTCCAGGGTCCCAACCCCTAGGTTGAGAAACACTGGACTAGAAACATACCATAGATCACACTGGAGGACCTAAAGAAGCACACAAACAATTTTTTTTTGGGGGGGGGGGGATATGGATCATGAAAACGTCCATTATAAGCGACCTAGGTGTCCCCAGTTTTCAGCATCTCAGCATCTCACCCTCTGCAGTGCTAGAAATTTCAGATTTAATTATGGGTATGCCTACATTTGGATTCTTTTCCTTGTAGTTGCACCCCTGCTCAATCATTCAACCATACTCTGGTCTGGACCAAGCTGGAATGTTCCAGAGGAGGGCAACTAAAATGATCAAGGGTCTGGAGAACAAGCCCTATGAGGAGTGGCTGAAAGAGCTGGGCATGTTTAGCCTGAAGAAGAGAAGGCTGAGAGGAGATATGATAGCCAGGTATAAATATGTGAGAGGACATCACAGGGAGGAAGGAGCAAGCTTGTTTTCTGCTTTCCTGGAGACTAGGACGCGGAACAATGGCTTCAAACTACAAGAAAGGAGATTCCATCTGAACATGAGGAAGACCTTCCTGACTGTGAGAGCCATTCAGCAGTGGAACTCTCTGCCACGGAGTGTGGTGGAGGCTCCTTCTTTGGAAGCTTTTAAACAGAGGCTGGATGGCCATCTGTCAGGGGTGATTTGAATGCAATATTCCTGCTTCTTGGCAGGGGTTTGGACTGGATGGCCCATGAAGTCTCTTCCAACTCTTTGATTCTATGATTCTATGGAGATCCTCCACCCGGCACGGCCATTCTAGCACACAGAGCTGCAATCTACGGCTGCTTCAGCATGCGTTACGCATCCCGCTAAGTGATTTCTTCTGAAGTGTTTTGGGGCAGCAGGGGAGGAAGAGAAACGAAGACGAAGGGAGGAGGGATCCTTACCTACTCCCTTGTGGGCATCTAAGCTGGTAAACTCCATTGTCCCATTATGGCCCTTTTTAGGATTTTCCCGATACTCTTTGTGGTTCCCATTGGGACAATATCTGTAGGCGAGTCCATAATCAGCAAGATAAACCTGGAAGACACGAAGAGAGAAGTGAATGATGCTTTCGTCCTCTGAAAAGGATAACCTTTCTAATTAAAACCGGAAGAAAATGGTGGCTTAAGGACACTCGGAGATCTGGATTTTATTAAGCCAAATGGCACCTGCATATAAAATATGTACATTGGGGGGCTGTTAAGAGCTACCCTCCCCCTTTTCCAAGTTGCATCCCTCTGAAATGCCCCCCACTCTTATTTCAGAGAAGTACAGGATTTTAGTCTATTTTGTTCCTCCGCTCTCTTCTCTCCAGGTGGGCATCCAGACATCATAAAGTGCAATATGTCTTTTATCTGTCTTCATGCTGCTTATGGGACCCCTTCTCCTCCTTACTAAACACACTCACACACAGAGACATGACAGAACCCATCTTTCAACAGCCAGACCTTCAACAAGTTCATAAAAGCTACAACGATGGGAAAGAAGGGAAGCAAAACTTTCACAAACAGAGGGTATCTCACATACTAATTTCAGACTACGGTGTGTGTGTCGGGGGGGCAGAAGGAAGGGCTTCAGGGGGGGTGCATCTCTTTGTGGATGAGTGGAGGAGCTTTTGAAAGTTTTCTGAAAGAACCTCCCCACCTTCGGGGAAAAAAGGGAACCTTTTATCAACATGAAAGGAAATTTCCTATGGTCATTTCAGCAGTCTCTGAGATAGCGGTACTGATTTACGAAGCAAGCACAGCTCTCCTCTCAACCTGAGTTTGGAAATATTACTTCTTCTGACCACTTTTCCCTACCATACTTAAAAGATTTTAATGTAAGTTAAAGAATTCTCTTTACATTAAAAATAGAAAGGGTTTTTTTTCAATTTTTCACAAAAGTACTGCTTTGAAGGGGGGGGGGTAGATTCTGGGAGCAGCCTCCCCCCAAAAAAGTTTTTTCCCCCAAGGTCTACTCTCAACAACAAGTTTTCTGGGTTGTTTTAGGTTTTTCGGGCTATATGGCCATGTTCTAGAACAGTGTTTCTCAACCTGGTGGTCGGGACCCCTGGAGGGGTTGCGAGGGGGTGTCAGATGGGTCATCATGTTGGTCATGGAGGTTCTGTGTGGGACGTTTGGCCCAATTCAATCATTGTCAGGGTTCAGAATGCTCTTTGATTGTAGGTGAACTATAAATCCCAGCAACTACAACTCCCAAATGTCAAGGTCTATTTTCCCCAAGCCCCACTAGTGTTTACATTTGGGCATGTTGAGAATTTGTGCCAAATTTGGTCCAGATCCATCATTGTTTGAGTCCACAATGCTCTCTGGATGTAGGTGAACTACAACTCCCAAAACTCAAGGTCAGTGCCCACCAAACCCTTCCAGTATTTTCTCTTGGTCGTGGGAGTTCTGTGTGCCAAGTTTGATTCAATTCCATGGTTGGTGGAGTTCAGAATGCTCTTTGATTGTAGGTTAACTATAAATCCCAGCAACTACAACTCCCACAGAACAAAATCAATACCCTCTCCCAATCCCACCAGTATTTAAATTTGGGTGTATTGGGTCTTTATGTCAAATTTGGTCCAGTGTATGCAAATACATCCTGCATATCAGATATTTACATTACTATCCATAACAGCAGCAAAATGACAGTTATGAAGTAGCAATGAAACTAATTTTATGGTTGGGGGTCACCACAACATGAGGAAGTGTATTAAGGGGTAGTGGCATTAGGAAGGTTGAGAACCACTGTTCTAGAAGCATTCTCTCCTGACGTTTTACCTGCATCTATGGCAAGCATCCTCAGAGGTTATAAGCTCCTCACAATCTCACAACCTCTGAGGATGCTTGCCATAGATGCAGGCGAAACGTCAGGAGAGAATGCTTCTAGAACAGAGCCATATAGCCCGAAAAACCTACAACAATCCAGTAATTCCAGTCATGAAAGCCTTTGACAACGAGTTTTCTTACTGCACAATCATTGATTAATGAATTAATTAATTTCACATATTTGTATCCTGTCCTTCCCACTCTAAAAGGGGACTCAGGGCGGCCTTAAAGCAGGCAGAGATTTGATGCCTACACACACACACACACACACACACATATATATAAACAAATAGAATTAAAACCATACAATTAAACATTCATTATTAAAACATCAATTAGAATCATGTAATCCAGATCGTAGTTCAAGGCCAGTCCAATTGTCAATTCCATTGGGGAGGGAGTTCCATAGTCAAGGAGCTACCACTGAGAAGGCCCTGTCTCATCCTCACCAGCTGCACCTGCGAGGGAAGTGGGACTGAGAGCAGGGCCTCTCCCGATGATCTTAGCCTCTGAGATTCAACAAGTCAGTGATTTAACCCATTATATATATATATATATATATATATATATATATATACACACACACACACACACACACACACACACACACACACACACATACACACACACTTTTATATTCCGCCCTTCTCACCCCGCAGGGGACTCAGGGCAGATTACAGTGTACACATATATGGCAAACATTCAATGCCAAGTTTTGACATACAAACATATACAGACATACACAGAGGCTATTTAACTTTTTCTGGCCGCCAGAGGAGCTGTCATCGTCCATCTGATAAAGCACTTCCACATTCCCCACATGCTTCCCCTGGAATGCTTTGCTGGAGTCTTCTTTATGGCCTCATAAATCAGTTAATTTAGCCTCCCCACACTTTAAGGTGGTACCTTATTTTCCTACTTGACAGATGCAACTGTCTTTCGGGTTGTAAAGGTCAACAACAGGCTACACATAATTGGTTGGAAACCCACTCCAACCCAGGCTGGCTTCGAACTCATTACCTTTTGGTCAGAGTGATCTTAATGCAGCTGACACTCAGCCTGCAACGCCACAATCCCGGTGCAAACAATATGATTTCTTGTTTATTTCACATCAAGGTTTCTTATTAAGTTCACTTTACACACTTGCACACTGCAGTCAACACACTAACATGTCACAACACCTAGTTTGGAAAGCTCTGCTTTATAGCGTTTAGGACAAATCAAATCAAATACTCAGGAAAGCATATGCATAAAGGAAACGGAATAAAATCATCTAAAACACCAAACAATCCCCAAAGCTGGAAATAGCCATTCAGCTATCATAGCCACCTTGTTCCAAAGCTAAGGCTTTCAAAAAGGGGAAATTATTAGACAAGCTCTACTATTTATTGTTAGTGTAGCAATTTTAAACCAGTTTAATTGGTGTTTTAATAGTATAATTGCATTCCAATGCATAATTTTACTGTGTTGTGATTGGAGCCTTTTTGTTTTGAAATTAAATTATGTTTAAATACAAAATTAATTATGTTTAATTAAGCTGCCAGGCATCCTGACCCTGGGTGAAAGGTGAGATATAAAGGAAATAAATAAAGAAAACTTCATTACGATGCGAGAGCAAACATTAAAGGCACCATAAGATTAAAATTACGGTTACAGAATAGTGAGAAGTAGCAACCAGAGAGCTCAAGGAGAATGGCACCCATTCAAAGCTTGGAAAAATAAATAGGTCTTTGTTGCTTCAACATAAAAGGCTTCTGGGACAATTTCCTAAGAAGGTCCCATCTAAAGTAGACCATGACCACTAAAAAAAGGTTCTGTCCTATGCCAAAGATGGGCATATGCAAAAGAAAGAAGGGAAAAGTGGTGTAACATTAAACATGCTGCAAAAGCTGGTATGTATTTCTTTTCTACTGGTATCCGATCTCCCGAGCAGCAAGGAAGAACGGCTGCAATAGAATCTATTTCTCTGACCAGAAAATTGTTTGACTTTACACAAAAAAAGTGCAAGCAAGAGTGCATAACCTTGTACGCTCCGCTCCAATTGCAAATGCTTGCAGAATTTGGAACTGAGCCCTCGGGGGCCTAAAATAATAGCGGAAAAGAAAAGCGATGGAAATTATAGGTCATTGGCTGGTAAGGAACAGATTTGTACAAGCAAAGGAGCAGAAGCTGGGCTCTGTTAAATTAAGGAAAAGCGTTGTAGGCAACACTCAGCCTCCCTCCAATACTCCAGCTTTGCAGTCATACAGTCAAGTCCCTCTACGTTAAAAGCGGCAAAAGGTAGCTACTCAAACTCTTTGGGGCTACAGCCCAAGAATCCCCCACCATTGATTATTCTGGTAACATCTGGAGGTTTCTCCATTCTATATGCAAAACCACACAAGTGAGGTGTTTAAGGCTGGGATGGGAAATCCAGATGCTGTTGAACTGGACCTCCCTACATTCTTCAGCACTGACTCTACTGACTAGTGCTGTGAGTTAATAACATCTGAAGGGACACATCATTTCATAAAAGCTAAATCATATAGTTTTTAAGAAAGGCAAAAGGTTGTCACTCTTATAGTTCTGAAGTTGGGCATGGGCAAACTTTGGTCCTCCAGATGTTTTGGACAGTTGAAGTCCAAAAGACCTGGAGGGTTGAAGTTTGCTCACGCCTAATGTAGGCTGACAAATAGCTTCCAAGCACAGCAGCAAGGACAATAATAATTACAGCTGTAAGCAAGTTTCACAAATGCTGTATTTCTTTGGTACTAAGATGCCATCAATTGTAAGGCACACACTAATTTTGCTAACACCACCACCACCAAAAAAGACATGCCAACGATTCTAAGACGCACCCTATTTTTATATACCATATATACTCGAATATAAGCCGATCTGAATATAAGCCAATTCACATAATTTTACCACTAAAAACTGGGAAAACTTATTGACTTGAGCCTAAGTGAAGGGTGTGAAATGCCGCAGCTACTGGCACATTTCAAAATAAAAATAGATACCAATAAAATTACATTAATTGATGTTTTATGTTAAATGTTGTTAAATATGATGTTAAATGTTTTTGAATATTTACATAAAACTGTAATTTGAGATAAGACTGTCCAACTCTGATTAAACCATTATTCTAACCTTCTCTAATGTAAATGTACTTACGTATCCTAATAATAATAGAGTAAAATAATAAATGTAATAAAAATATTAACAATAGAGTAAAATAATGAA